TAGGATTCATAACTTAAAACTTTTTAAGATTGAGAATAAATCATAGACTTTTGGTCTTAATTTAAATGATAAAAATGAGCCATATCAAAATATTCAGCATTATGATAGAAAAGGTTATTAAAGTATTTAACCTTGGAAAAAATATTACATTTAGGGGGAATATCAATACATTCTATTAACTTTTATGCCTCTGTCAGACTGAAAACAGAAATGCTTTCACACCTAGAAATCTAAATATGTTTTCTTAACTCCACCATTAGAAGTAAAGTTCAATTCTTTTTAAAATAATTATTGGGGGGATATTTTGTCTTTAGGCTGATAAACTATATACTATTAAGTTCAAGGAAACATTCATGTTCATCGTTTTAACCTGAAGCACAATCCTAAATATTTTTAAGGAATCCAATGAAATCAATTATGAGACATGAAAAAAACTGATCTCCTCTAGTCACTGACCGATGTATCAACCTGATTTGGAACAGTGGGGGTTATAGCTGATCATGTGTAGACCCGTAGTGTTAAAGCATGTTCCACAGAGCACACAAAGATCTATATAGGTCATCTGTTTGTATAGCCGTGTAAAAGTCTATAATCACTTGAAATGTTAGTTTAACCTCAATAATACAAAATTGCCATTATAATTCTCAATGTGTAAAATTTTATGGCAACAAATAATGCTCTATGCAAACTGGTTCAAATTGTATCTTAATATAAATATAAGCATATATTTAATATATATATTAATATATTTTTATATGTAAGTAAATATAAATATATAAATAATATATAAAATATAAATTAAAATGTTCAAATTGTATCTTAATATAAATAAAATTAATTGTTCATCCTTCAGATTACATGCCATACTTGTTTACTCTCTAATTTTGTTAATAGGTAACTGAAAAAGAAAATGATATCATTTACAACATAATTACTATTTATCTTTCCTTCAAATTCCGAATATATTTTATTGTTATTTACTAGATATGAATGGGTGACCTCATGTTCATAGCATATTGTAAGTTTCCTATATTCTTAAATAGTCTCAAGAATATTATTTTTGGTTGGTATCTATGGATGATGACTCTAGTTGGTTTAAGATATCACTAACTGTCACAGATTCCATTCATTTCCATTTGTTTTACTATTACAAAAAACATTTCAGTGAACATTCTGGTGCCTACCTCTACTTATTTCCTTTGGATAAACTTTTAGAAGTACACCAGTTTGACAAAAGAACATAAACACTTGTGAGGTCTTTGATATATAATGTCAAATTGCCCTCTAAAGAAGGCATACCAATTTCTAGTTTTCTTCAGCAATGTATAGAAGATCCTATTTTTCTACATACTCAACACTAAATGTATAATTTTCTCAATCTTTGCTAATTTTTCATAGTTTTTATTTGCATTTACCTTATTGCTAAGCTGTCCAACATTTTTATATCTTTATCAGATTTTTTTCATTTAAATTCAATTAGCCAACATAGAGTACATCCTTCTGTTTCAGATGCAGAGCTCAATAATTCATCAGTTGCGTATAACACCCAGTGCTCACCACATCACGTGCCCTCCTAGATTTTTTTGTCTTCTATGACGAGGCTGTTCATGACTTTTGTTCATTTTTCTCTTGACTGTTTTTTGAAACACTATTCAAGATATAGTGAATTTATGATCTGAGAATTGACATTTCACAGAGGAAAAATTACCAAGAATTTCATTGAAGATAAGCTACAGGTTATACTCTGTATGTGATGCTGTTGTGTGGCATCGAAAATTAACTGTCAGAATCAAAAAGGCAAGAAACATGAGGGAAGCATATGGGATAAGCTGCTATCCATGCTCCCCAGTTCATCCCCAGCATACCTTCCCTACCACAGAGCTTTCTTGTCATTAGCTGTTGTGGAAAGAGAACAAATCAAGCGAGTTGTGAATCAAGATCCCCTTGCAAATAACTGCCCAAAAACTCTGCAACAGAGGGTAGCATATCAGTTGCCACAAAGATAAGAATGCTTTATGTAGGCAAAGACCTTTGAACAGCTAAAGACAGAAGCCTCTTGATACACACTCAGGACAGTGATCTACTTTATCATTCATTCAAACAGATTTTCCCTCTTCATCAGGGCATCTTTTCATTTTATTTGCTATTCAAAACACTGGGACACAAAGGATGCACTTCATCTTGTGTGCTACTGAAATGAAATCTTGAGGTAGGAAAAAAAAACAAAAACCCTTGCCCTAAATTCCCTTTCAAAAGTGAAGTGTGAAAAGACATCAAGCAGGGTACACTGTGTTATTGTTGCAAGAAAGTCAATTCTACAATACAGAGACCAAGGCCATCAGCCGTGGCTTAATCACTTCCTTACCCACAGTGAATCATAAGAAAAACCCAAAAAGAAAGGGTTCCACTTGGGAAAATGGAATTTCTCATTGTCCTTCCTCTTGATTATCATTAACATATATGGGCACAGCTGTTTCCTTTCTCCAAATAATCCTGAAGTCAATGCTGTAATATTGGTTCCCTTCTTCTGTCTCCATGGGGCGTATTATACCTCACCTCGTGTCCTATTCTGAGCAGCAGAAATTTCAAATTTGTCTTTTCATTGAGCAGCAAACCAGAAAGCCTAACTATCTGCTTTCGTTTGGTGCTGAGAGGATTAAAAATTACTTGAAAACTTGGTTTCATTGCAAGTTATAAGCTAAGTTATAATATAGAAGGTAATCAAAATGAAAGATGTTTGAACAAAATAGTCAGTAGCTATTATGTATAAATTATCTGGGACTTTCTTTTTATAAAGTCAAGTTTTTTTTCAAACAGAGTGAAGAACTAGGCCATCTCAAAATTCATCTTGACATAATTTTATATTCTGCAGAGTATGTATTTATATACCAGGACCATTATTATACAGTTGCTTTAGGCTTTATTGTTTCAAGATAAAATGTATTACTTATCTGAATGGGGTTTTAAAAAGCCATCCAAGCTTCTTGGTTTCCAACTGAAAGTTTTATTAGTTCAACTAACAAAAGAACTCAGAGGCAGGGTGGAAATTGAGACAAGGTATTCCCACTGACAGCTTCTAGTCATTCACCTTGGCCTATGGTAGTCACTGAAAAAGATGCTTCTTATTTTTTTCCTTTTTCAAATTTTTATTTAAATTCTAGTTAGTTAATATATAATGTAATATTGGTTTCAGGAGTAGAATTTAGTGATTATCACTTACATATAACTCCCAGTACTCCACAAAAGTGCCCTCCTTAATGCCCATCATCTACTTAGCCCATCCCCCACCCTCCTCTTGTTCTCTGTGGTTAAAAGTCTCTTAGGCTTCCCTCTCTCTTTTTTTCCCCTTTCCCCTATGTTCATCTGTTTGGTTTCTTAAAAGATGCTTCTTAAATGAAAACCTGTTTGATAAATTCACAAACAATAGGGCAGTTTCCCCATGAGGCAGTTCCTTAAGCAATGCAGGGGCACTTGAGAACTTTAAATCATGATGTTGTTGGTCCACACATGAAAAGTATACTCCTTGTGAGTAAGATCTGAATTTATTTATTTATTATTCATTCATTCATTTGATCTTTCAAAGATATTTTTTGCAAATAATTCCACGACACTCCCTTCCTATAATTCTTCACTCAGACAGTTTCCTAGACACCTGAAAGTTAAAATCTATTTGGAAAATTGCTATCAGACTGAAATAGGGCTATATCCATACACACACATCTGCCCCCAAGTTTGGTTTACTTTAATGTGAGGAAATAGTAAGAGCAGTCAAAGTCCATTTCTATAACGATCACTGGAGGAGCACACTATTCTACATAGTAGGCTCCTAAGCAATTACTCTTTATTTTTTCCTTCAGGTATAAAATGTTCTCCTAGTCTAAATTCACATAATTTTCTTCTCTGTTGAGAGAATTCTCAGAAATCTGATGGCAATCTTTTCCATATCACATTCACTCCTCTTAGTGCAAATACAAATTTCCATAGGCATATAAAATGGTAAGATTTTAGCTGTTACTGTCAATTTCCTAGGTTCAGCAGGGAAATGTTGTTTTGTGAGGCCTAGGGGCAAAGGGAATACCCTTTGTGTGGAAGGCAATTTGTATACTTGTTCTCTCTGATGGATGCTCAGCTTACTTTGATGCTAATATTTGGTATTATGTGATTTTTGTGGATTGATTTTTAAAGCCTCAGGCAAAAGAACCAAGGCTCCCTCCTCCTTTCTTCACTCAGTTCTATTTCATTAGAAGGGGGTTTTAATTCCAATACTCTTCATATGAGAGCTGTTCTGGGCAAAGCTGATACAGGAGGATTGAACATTTAACGGTAGCATATCAAGTAATGTCGAAACACTGAACAATGTTTTCTCCTAAGGAAATGCAAAAGCTTGGTCTGTGGTCTGGACGTGGATTTGCCAAAATTCAATCATAAGGCAAAATAAGACAAGAACCCCACAATTATCTGGGTAGGTTTAGACACTAAGATATCTATCTTTTATTTTACCATCTTCAATTATTCCAATCTCCTGCTTGCTTACCTGATTTTTAACTCACTAAAAATAGATAAATAAATAAACTGTTTCAACAAAGATAGACTTTATAGGAAATGGTGTTTCAGCCTTTTGGTAGAGGTAAAAAACAATAGTGCCTTTATGGCTGGAGCATATATAGCTCTCTTTCTAGTCCAGGTTAGAGTCCGGTGGCAAAATGTAAGCCTCCATTTTCCAAATATCCCCCATTTGGCATTGTATATACTTGATTTTAGCTTGGAATTGTGCTACTTATATTCCTACCTTTTCGTGCACAAAGTACCAACAGTAAAAGCCATGCATTTTCTACCTTCAAAGATTCATGTTTACAACAAACCTGCAATTGACAACAAACTTTGAATTTTTTTCAAGTTAACAATCTATGAAATGACATTACACAAAAAAAGGTTTGATAGTTAGACTGACAAAGATACATAATAATTTGATCAGCTAGAATTCTGAAGGAAATACATACCCAAACCTTCCGATTCAAATAGACACGTTTCATCTACCCCTAAATCTCGGCACCAGGATAAGAAATTTGCTGTATTGTCTCGGGCAAAAAAGGAGCCTGAGGGTGCAGTGGCTTTGCATGGAATCTTCTTCAAGGGCAGATTCTGAAAAACAAAGAAATCTCACGCTGGTGGAATATCCAGCAAAGTCATCACAGCGACCAATTAAATATATACTTATGTTTTCAACAAAATGTTTTGGAATGACTGCATATCAATAAATAGGTTATGAAGAGGTATAGAAAAGGAAGTAGAATGCATATGAAACTTAGTTGTCTTTAAGAAACTATAAAAAAAATCTGTGCATATAAACAAATCCTGGACTTTTTTTTTACCATCTTGTAGTAATACAAGCAAGTCCCTTCGCTGGCTCACATTGTCTTTTTTCTTTCTCTTCTATTTAAGGTTTTCTTTTTTTTTTTTTTTGGCCTTATGTTCCATCCAAATATTCTATCATTATTTCTCAAAAATTATTCATAAATGCATTTTCCATTTGTGAAAGAAGAATGAAACACAAATATGCTACATGAATATAAACAATATGTAACACACAAACCTGCATTCTTTTTTTTTTTAAAGATTTATTTATTTATTTGAGACAGAGAGAATGAGAGAGAGAGAGAGAGAGAGAGAGCACATGAGAGGGGGGAGGGTCAGAGGGAGAAGCAGACTCCCTGCCGAGCAGGGAGCCCGATGCGGGACTCGATGCAGGGACTCCAGGATCATGACCTGAGCCGAAGGCAGTCGCTTAACCAACTGAGCCACCCAGGCGCCCTAAACCTGCATTCTTATATGCACACACATACATATCAATATATTATATTATTAATAATTTACATTATAATATAAAAATAATTCTGTTGTATTTCTGCTATCTGACCCTGAAACATACTGACATTATGCGTCATTTTTCTTATGGGATAAGAAAATGCTTAAGGGAAAAAAAAAAGAAAAGAAAATGCTTAAGGTATGCCTGGGTGGCTCAGTCTGTTAAGCGGCTGACTTTGGCTGAGGTCATGATTTCAGGGTCCTGAGATTGAGCCCCTTGTAGGGCTGCCTGCTCAGGGGGGAGCCTGCTTCTCCCTCCGCTCCTCCTCCTGCTCATGCTCTCTCTCTCAAATAAATAAATAAAAACTTTAAAGAAAAGAAAATGCTTAAGATAAGGGTGGGTATGAACCTGGACAGACTTTCTTATTAACAGTCTGCCATAAAATTTTAGCCAGGAAAACTCCACTGGCACCATACCACGTGTTAGAGAGGTGTGTGGTCTTATTTTCTTTACTATAACATGACCAGTGTCCATGGCATTCCAGGGAAGTCACAGAATGCAATTCTCTGTGACATGAAAAACTGAACAATGGATTTGGATGATGTGGGCTACATAGAGCTTCATCTCAAAGAGAGAAAAGATCAAGGGAGAAACACTTTGTGATTTAAGTTCATAAATAGAATGTTTCCTTCATTCACTGGGAACCACAAATAAAAGCAAAATGTTGTTGATCAGCTCATTTGCAAGAATGGTTATAAAAAATGAGATAGTAGCCTTAGAGGATTGGTGAAGTTCTACTAACATCATACTATTACTAGAGTTCTTCACGTCTGAGGATTTTATGGCCTGCATAACTAAAACATTCAGTTACTACATCACTCAAAGTCTGTGTCTGTCCAGTCTCAAAGGTCCATCTCTTTCTTGCTGATTGAATTTAATTTAGAGGAGACAAAATGAAGATTTTTGCATGAATACACAAATATTTATATAGTTATATATTTTAGGCATTACTGATAAAAATATCATATATGAGGTTACTTGTGTAGCAATACCCCCTGAGCCATTTTGGTTAAGTAATAGTTTTCAAGGAAATTATTTTCTATATAAGTTGTAAAACCAATCATAAATAGCATAGTGTAATATCTCCTTTATAAAATATTTGCAAACATCACTCAGTATTTATTAAAATAAAAAAAATCCTTAAATCTAGCAATTCACTTCTAAGTATATATCCTAAAGATATAATAGCATTAGTGCTTAAAATATATCTATATCTATATATTTGTTGCAACAGTAATTGAATAAGAAAATATAGAAATAAGAATATGCCAAAAGAGGGCTGGTGGAATAATACACAGTATATATACAATGGAACTCTATGCAATAATTTAAAAAGAGTAAGATAAATGTATATATGTTGAACCATACAGATGTTCAGTAGGTGCTCGTAAGCATAAACAAATAATTTGCAAACAGATATGTATACCACAATTTCATTTTATGATCATGTGTATATGTGTATAAACACTATATATACACACACACACACATGGCCATATATAAGGTGAAATTGCATATAAATATGTTTTATTATAAATATGAATATTGTACTCATTTTTATAATGTTAGTTTAGGGAAAATTTAAGAAGGACATGCACCAAATTGCTAGCAATTACCTTTGAGGAAGGTGATTGATGCATAGTTTCATTTACTTCATTACATAATTCTAAAATAAGTAGGAGGATTTTATTTTTTTTTTAATTTTATTTATTCATTTGAAAGAGAGACAGAGAGAGCACAAACAAGGGGAGAGGCAGAGGGAAAGGGAGAAGCAGACTCCCCGCTGAGCTGGGAGCCTGACATGGGGCTCCATTCCAGGACCTGGAAATCATGACTTGAGCCAAAGGCAGACGCTTAACCATCCAAGCCACCCAGGGACCCCAAGTAGGATTTTAAATGACTTTTACATCTTATCAATATTTTCAGATTAAATAATCAAAATTGGTAAATTGTGTCAGCCAAAACATAAAAGACGATTTGCTGGAAACAAAAATCTCCAAGAGGTGACTATAAAGCTTTTTTATGATAAGACTAAAACAAAGATCATCTCTAAGAAAAGAACATAAATAGATTTAAATACAAAGCCACATTAAGATTTGCCACCTCTATCCCTGAATAGAGAAAGAATAAAATGTGGAAAACCACTTAAGACCCAGGAATGAGTTTGCATAGAGGAAGTATAACTTAGAAATTATAAACTATTTGACAATGCTAAGGACACCTAAGGACATAAGGCTCAAGGCTTGTGTAGCGGAAAGAAATACAATATCCATTTTGCACTTGAGAAGCTAGAGATTGATGTGACACTTAATCAACCAAGGGACATATTTTGAGAGAATACCCACAAGCAACAAGGCCTCAGAAATCAGTCAGCCTACTCTTTAAGAACTTAAAAGGACAAGCACTGAGCATAGAAGTGAAAACAGCATTTTCCCCTACAAGGTTCTGGTCCTTACAAAGTCATTTACATAACATATACCTGAGGATAAGTATTTAAAATTGATTCCTATTCAAAGACATGAAAGCTATTTTAGGACAAATAAAATGAAAGCTGACTCCAGATATTTCATAACTTGGGGATATCCAATGCAGAGGAATTCAATAGTAACAGCAATCAAACAAGGCAGTAGTAAAGTGATTTATGGGATATCTGTTTCTGTTCTGGACCTGTCAGATTTAGTGCTTCTATGTCATCTGAAGACTTAGGACACTGTAAACAGTGTGAATGGTAGCTTCCAGTCCTCATCCAGATGAAATGTTTTACTTGGTAAAATTTTAAAAAGTCATCCTCATTAGTCCAGATGACTAACGAATTGAGCCCTCACACAGAGTACCTATTTATAAGTCATCACGCCTAACCAGGTGTAAGGATCTCTGTGCAATGGCTAAGAGCCGTCGCGTGCTTGTGGGATCTAATATTCTTCCTGGTTGAACACCGACTCCAAATCAAAGGTCTTTCCAGGGTTACTGTGCCATTTATAATGAAGAGCCTTAGGGCATAAATTTGATTTCATTTGAATTAAAGAACAAATGATTCAATAATATCAGCACTCAATACCTTTGGAACTTAAAAGTATTTTTGACATCTTTTACGCAAAAGTGTTTATAAAGCTCTGAAAACCTTGGCAATTAGATCGCTTCCAGTTCTGTGATTTTTTTTAATAATTTTTTTATTATGTTATGTTAATCACCATACATTACATCATTAGTTTTCAATGTAGTGTTCCATGATTCATTGTTTGCGTATAACACCCAGTGCTCCATTCAGTACGTGCTCTCTTTAATACCCATCACCGGCTAACCCAACCCCCCCAACCCCCTCCCCTCTGTGATTTTTTTAATTGTTAATTTCTCTAGGTTCTCATGAAAATCCTAGGGGGGAAAAAATAGCTCTGGATCTCTTCTTTAATATCACTAAATAAAAATAAAAACCGATAGATTGAATAACTATTTCCTTGCTGATTTCCTTGCCAAGAAAATCCTGAAGAGTTTTAGAATAGAGAACTGCCTTAAGTAATGATGGCTGTGTACACTTGAAAGGCTGAAAATTGACCACAGATATGGAGAGGAAGACTTCTGATCTAAAGAACTGGAGATTCAAAAGGGAACTTCCCCACATGGCTCATCTGATATATCTTCCCTATTAGTTTTCCCTTTACTGCTCACCTCTTGAAACAATTCCTACAGCATTTAAATTATAGACCATCTTCAGTTATTTACTAAGTTTTTCCAGACAGTGCTGTTACACATTATGTCCTCAAAACTGACTGAGGAATGCATGCATGAATGGTAAGACTTGACCCCTCAAACTAGATTGTAATCAACATGGGGCAGGAGTAAACACTGTACTGGAGTTTTCACATTCCCAGGGGACACATTTCCAGGGCCTTCAAAATTCACTAAATTCATAGCATAATTTATATATTAAATGATTTCCATAAATTAAGAAATGTATAACTGAAAAATTTAAGTGACAACTTTGAGCTATTTTTGAAAGTTACTGAATAGAGAATGATGACTTGAGAATAACTGCCAAACTGAACTGAGATTGGGTAAAAATTTAGGTACACTTACTCACAAGAGTCACACTGCTGTATCCCAGGCTCCATGATCTGGATTCCATATTTTGTGTTAGCAAAATGAGAAGGGACTACTAGTAAACCATCACATGGATGCACATTAATTTTTCTAATATCAAGAGTCTAATGTTTACCTTTTTTTCTCTCAGTGGGATTAACTCAGGATATGTATTCATGGCCCCCCAAATACTTATAGA